ACATATCTGTTAGTTCCCTTGACAGTCTGTGGTATATTCAGTACTCTTCTCCAATACCACAGCTCAAAGGCATCAATTCTCCTTCTATCATCCCTCATCACTGCCCAGATTTCTGAGGAATAGCATGTAATTACAAAGACCATGACTTGAATCTGACACACCTTAGTCTCTAAAGTGACATCATTGCTTTTCAGTACTCAGGAGAGGTCCCTGACAGCAGATTTTCCCAATGCCTTTTGTCTTTGATTTCCTGAACTGCCCGTGGCCCCTGAATAGTTAAAGCCCAGATTCTCACTTTAGCCTGGATTAAGGCAGAGACCTCTCTGGCCTGTCCTTTGCCTCCAGTCCTCACCCCCTTTTCTTCCTAAATTGATGTCACATCTTATCTTGTTGGAAAACCACATCTGGGTCTGTGGCCCACTAAGCCCTCCTTCTTAGATCCTTTCTCCTGCTCTCCACGCCAGTCATTCTGTGGCCTCTCTGGCTTTTCCATACATCCCCATTGCTTCCTCTTCGTCCTTCTGCTGGCCTTTCCACCTATCTTCCTTTCCTTCCCTCCCTCTCCTTTGTCCCTTGCTCCTCTCCACTGATCATTCCCTTTTTTGTGTCTTCTCAGCCAGTTAGCTATGAGGTCTTCAAGCTGTTCATGAGAGCATACCTGAAGGTGGACCTTCCTCAGCCATTGAGCACACACCTCTTTCTAGCCTTCAGCCAGAAGCCCAGACATGAAACCCCTGACCATCCGAGGGAGGGGGCCAGCAACAGCGAGGTCAATGGCCCAGGTACGTAGACCAGTCTCCCATCAGATGTAAGGGGAGTTGTGCATCTCTAACCCCATTGCTGCAGCCATGGGTTGTGTTCCTAGAGAACCCATGCATGTACTTCCCTTACTTTAGGGATGGGTATGAATACCAAGGACTAGGACCCTTTTCGTCACAGGACCTCACAGAAGCAAGCACTGTCTGGTGAATCTCTCAGTAAGAGGAACACAGATGGGGCTAATTCCTGCTACTGAGAATAAGAGGGTAGGCTGGAGGAAGGGGAGGGCACACTATGAAATGGCAAGGAGAAGAGAGCCTTCTACAAAGACCTGGGCCTATGGGTAGAGCACAGTCAACTCTTGGGCCTTTCCTGGGCCTGGACTGGAAGGGTCGGAGGAAGGACCAGCCATGGGTAGTGTCTTCTTGGAGCTTGGACTAGAGTGGGGAAGCCATCCCCAATATGTAAGAGTGAATCCATCCTACAGCAAGCCAGAGGCACAGACAGAACCTAAAATGACTCTAATATTCTGTCTGTCCTGCTCAGAAGTTAAGGGCATCGTGGGCCGGTCTTTAATGTTCTTCTTTCTGTTCTCCAGATTCCAGTATCCAGAATGCAGATAACGCTGCCAAAGCTGATGAGGCCTGTGCCCCTGACATAGGTAAGTCTTTTGAGTGCCTTTATCCTTGGGGAGAAGTAGGAATACCTTACTGCAGTCTTGTCTCCACATAACTATGTGCTCTGAGTCCATCAGAGTGCCAGTTCTGGAGTCCCTGCCACTCAGTGTTCTAGGATTCTGAGTCTGGGGAAAGACTCTTGTTTCAAAGGTAGGGTAGGAATCAGGAGACCTTATAAGTTGTTTACCGGACAGGTTTTCCTGCTCAGAGAAGGGCACCTTCTCAGGAGAAAGGATAGTACAAGGAGGAGGAGGAGGTAGGGCAAGGATGATAGTGAATGTGGGTAAGTGAGTGTGTGTGTGTCTGTGTGTGTGTGTGTGTGTGTGTGTGTGAGTGTGTGTGTGTGTGAGAGAGAGAGAAAGAGAGAGAGAGAGAGACTAGAAACAGACACATAGGACTCTACCAGAGGATGACTGGAGAGAAGTAGGGCAAGAAGAGAGGAGTTTGTCCTGTTTGACTGCTGACTACATATGTCTGTATGCTGACTGAGTACATACATACACAACAGCTCAAATAAGTTGAGAGAAGGGGCCGGGAGAGAGTCAGCTAAAATGACTCTGAAGATCTGCTATTTTTTCAGTATTTGCTAAATACACATTTCAGTTAACTGTAACAATATACACTTGAGGAACTAAAGTTTTAAGAAATGAAATACTGGCATGGTCTTTCTAAATTTTACAGCCTAGAAAATCCTAGTGGGACCAAAGATTTGTTTTCCAGTTTTCTAAACTCTAAGCTCCTGTTCTATTCCTATACCAAAAGGAAACTGTGCTCTCTCGTGAGAGTCTTCATGCTCTGACTCTGTGCTGTACTAGATTATTCATAATGATTTTATGAGGCCTTGGTTGTGTGGCTTTCACCACATAACTGGATTGTTGTTGCTGTTAAGTGCTGTCAGGTTGATTACGACTCATAGCGATCCTGTTAATAACAGACCTGAATCCTGTCCTGTCCTGTGCCATCCTCAGTATCTCAGATACACCTGAGCCCGTTGCTGCAGTCACTGTGTCAAATCCATCTCACTGGCGTTCTTCCTCTTCCTCTCTTTCACTTATAATCTTTCTAAACATGATCCCTTTCCAAGGAATAGTCTTGCCTAGCAATATGCTCAAAGCGTGAGAGACAAACTCTGCCATCTTTGCCTCCAAGAAACACTCTTGGCTGCACTTTCTCCATGAAGGTGTGTAAAACAATGTGGGGTTGATCAGTTTTGCCAGCTCACCAGGCTTCAATTTAGCAAGTTCAGAGGTGAAAAACAGGAATCTCACTTTCATTGAAAACAAAGAAGCATAGAGTACAGCAAATCATTTGAGCCAGAGATTCCTCCTCAAAACGGAGCAAGCCCAAAAAATAAAGTGGCCAATTCACAGCAACTCAAAAAGCACTTTAGTGTCAGCAGTGGTATTGGTATCATCAGAAATGACAGAGAATCAGAGACTGAGCAGAGAGAAGAGCTGAGCTCAAGCTGATAACCCCTGGAACCCAGCACCTTAAGACCTAGGTTTACTGGCTGAATGAGAATGGTGCATAATTATCCAAACCAAGAGACCTTTGTAACACTTGCCTGAACAGGGCAGAGGTTAAGGCCACGTAGCCGAAGGTCAGAAATAGAAAGAGAAAGAGAGGTCTGTCTATGAGTATGGATGAGAAGAGCCTGTCTGAGTGAATCAGAGCTGTATCCTGATTTTTCACTACCTGAATTATACATGGTTACTTCCCTAATAAAGGTTGAAAGGTAGTATGCAGAGCAGATTATCCGAGAGGCTGGGCTCTATGAGGAGAGGCGTGGCGTTAGGATTGGTGGACGATCTATCAACAATCTGCGTTATGCAGATGACACAACCCTGCTTGCTGAAACTGAGGAGGACCTCATGCACTTACTGCAGAGGGTCTAGGACTGCAGCCTTCAGTATGGACTGAGGCTCAATGTCAAGAAGACAAAAATTCTCACCACTGGACCAATCAGTAGCATCAGGATGGATGGCTAAGAGATTGAGATTGTTCACAGCTTCAGTTTGCTCGGCTCCACGGTCAACACTCTTGGCACCAGGAAATCAAAAAACATATTGTGATGGGAAAGTCTGCGGTTAGGAACCTCTCTAAAGTACTCAAGAGCAATGGTGTCTCTCTGGAGACTAAGGTCTGCCTGATACAGGCCATGGTTTTTGCAATCACTTGTTATGCATCAGAGAGTTGGACAATGAATAGGGAGGATAGAAGGAGAATTGACGCCTTTGAGCTGTGGTGCTGGAGAAGAGTATTGAATGTACCATGGACTGACAAGAAAACAAACAGATTCATCGTAGAGAGGACTAAACCAGGCTGCTCCTTGGAGGCAAGGATTCTGGGGCTTCGTCTGACATACTTTGGACATGTTGTAAGGAGGGACAGGTCTTTGGAGAGGGACATCATGCTGGGTAGAGTGGAGGGACAGCGCAGGAGGGGAAGACCCTCTATGAGGTGGATTGATTCAGTGACTGGGGTACTCAGGATGGGTGTGTCAGAGGCAATGAGATTGGCACAGGATAGAGCATGGTTTAGGGCTGTTGTACATAGGGTCGCTATGAGTTGCAAACAACTCGACGACACATAACAACAGCAACAATAACACTTCCCTAATAAACCTCATATCACGGATATTTTTTGTGAATTCTGTGTGGCCTTTGCAATGAATTATTGAACCGAGTAGAAGTATTAATGCGAGCCATGAGAGGGGCCACTGGTGTTAGAAATGATAAAAGAAGTGTAGAATGTCAGGGTATGTCTAACCTCATTGGAATTGTCTGTGCTACTGTTGCTATTGATGGACTTCTTCCCTGTTATGGAGTCAGTGGAGGTCAGACCCTGCTGCCCACATGCCTGCCACACTGTTTGCACAGCCTCCTTGTAAAGACATTCACTGGTTAATATCTGATAGAATGATCAGGTATACACTCCTAGTGGGGCTGCTGTCATGGTGTCTGGCTGTCTCTAGGCACCCCGTGGACTATGACTGATGTAAATTCTTACTGTGCAAATTTATCATTGGAAAGTCCTCTTCTGTGACATTGACAAGCCCAAGTCCAAAGCCAGAGAGATTTAGGAAACTGAGAAGGGTAAAGATTGTATCCTTGACCCCTATTCTGATGTTCAATATTAATTTCATGGCTTCTGTCAGTGCAGGTTGGGAGTTCTGATAAGCATACTCTTCAGGGAATTGTGCTGTTAACCAAAGGCCTCTCCTCTATGGAGATTCAAATCCACCAGTGGCTCCTGGGAGAAAAATGAGCATTCTCCTCTCATGCAATTTATAGCCTTGTCTATAAGTTGGTTCCAGCTCGACAGCAGTGAGTTTGAGTTTGAGTGTATCACTACAAGTTCAGGCCAACAATAGAGCATTGATTAAGAGTCTGGGCTTGACTCAAGCTGTAGCATTATCTGTCTCTGTGACTTTGGTCATGTTTGTATAATGTCTCTATGTTTCAAGTTCCACATTTCTAAAATGGGATACTGATAATATCATAGGGATGATGTGAAGGCTAAGTGAGCTGTGTTTGTGTATTGTTGCTGTGGGATTAGAACTAACTCATCATTGACCCTCCAGTGAGATTTCAGAGACTGTAAATCATACGAGAAGAGATTGCCCATCTTCCTCCCTCAGAGGCATTTGGTGCATTTGAACCACCAGAAAAACACACCACTTTTGAGTTGTTGTGTGCCATCAAGTCAGAACCACCCCATAGCTGACCTTCTGGTGGACTTTCAGAGCCAGTTAATCACATGGGAGGAGATTGCCCGTCCTTCTCCCATGGAGCAGCTGGTGGATTCAAACCACATGCCTTCGGGATTATGGTGCAGCTTCTTGCCACTAGGCCAGCAGACCTCCCTCAATAAATGTTAAGAAATTATTGTTCAGACCACTCTCTGAAAACACACTTTACTCCTAACCCTTCAGGATCTGCCACGATTCCCTTTAGGACCATTCTGTACCTTTAGGTTCCAAAGCGTATCAGCCGAGCATCCTCTTCTTCTGAAAAGGCTCTCAGGGACTGTCTCCCAAGCTACTCCTGAAATCTCAGACAAAAAGACTCAGAGTCAGACTTTATTCTCTGTGAATTGTCTGGAAAAGATTTATAAATACACAGAATAAATTACAGCTCTTGGGATGTACCTTGTGGTAAAGAAAGTAGCTGATCACATGAGTAATTACTGATTCAGTTACACTTATCTCCAAAATAGAATGAGCCTTATTATGTTTTTAAATAAACACAGAATGGTTGAAAGAGATTATATAACTGAAGGAGAACTAATTGTAACAAGGACTAAAATTAATTTCTTCGAGTGGACACTACATGTAGTTCCAGTATTTTTCTTCCACTCACAGAAAAGTCACAGCCAGAAGGATTATTGTGTTTACAATGTGTAACTAAAAGACTAGTAAAGCCACAACTTCAGTATGAGTGGGAAGCAAAGCATGATTGGAAAAGGATATTTACTACTAGCCTCTAAGTTAGCAAATTCCAGGCTGCTTATGGAACTCTACAAAAGTAAGGATTAAGGGCCTCAGCGTTCTCCTAATGCCTTCAGGAGCAGCAGCGCTACAAGACTCCATATACATGTGGCTTACCCACCATCCTACCCAGCATTCCATGCAGCCACGCAAGGTCCATAACCCACTGGTGTCAGAAATTAATTTAAAGGGAGCATAGGTCTTAAATTTCTGCTGTGAATCATGCTTATGGTAGAAAGTAAAGGGTGAGACTGGAAGCTTTGAGATTCTAAACTCACACTAAGAAAATCAACAATAAAAAGAGTTTGGCCAAAGAATCTTTATTCAGAGATTTTTCTTGGTCTGTGAATCTAGAACTTTAAGAGGAATGTTTGAGCAGTAATAGTTTATTCCATGATGCCTTTAAATTATTTGGGTAGAGTTTTTTATGATGGTAAAAGTTTCTGTGGTTGTTGCTGTTAAGTGCTTTAGAGTTGAGTATGACTCATAGTGACC